TTATGAGGATTGTTGAAAACAAATAATTTCGGATTGTTGTCTATAGATATTAAAACTACTTATAAAATCAGATCTAATACATCTTGGGGAGCAAGTATTGTTATAAAACATCATTGTTATAAACATTTTTTCACACACCCCTCAACACTTTTGTCTTTAAATGTGACATAAGAGCAATAACATTTTGTCACCATAGCAAATGGCTTAACGAGACTTATTCGCGCCAGAAAAAAAAATAAGATTTTGTTTATCCCAATCGTCATTAGTAGCTTATAAATTGTAAATTGACCAGTAGGATAATATTATTTTTACGCTCCCTCGTCATATTTTGAAGAAACGCAGTAATGTTTTAACTCCATGGCGCGCTCTAATACTGGCACTTGTGGCATCTATGCCTCCTCCCCCTAACTGTCGCTAAGCCAGTGGAAAAATGTAATCCATTATGAAATGGCGAAAATAAATTTGAAATCTGTCTATACATGATATCGACTTCAAAAACGACAAGCACAATTCATTTCCCAATTCTATATTTTCGGCTTAAAAAATACCTAAACATTTAGATAGATTCTTTATAGGAAGTGTACCTATTACAATGGTTCTCATGACACGACTTCAGGAATATTTCTGTAGATCTTCACCGATCATGACAATAGAACTCAAAGCCAAACTTCAAAAGATTTGACCCTGTTATCTTGTGAACACGATAACTAGAGTAATTTTGATTAGATTTTCACCTGGGTAGGATATGCCGTATTGACGATGAACATCTCAGCCTAGTTCGTAGATCTGCTATGCAGCTCAAAGGGGATGGAAATGGTGGCGGTTGTAAATTTCCTTTCCCCATAAGTTCCGAACGACCGAAGATAGAAAGAAAATTCAAATGAGGCAAATTATTGCCTTATCATATAGAACAATTTTTGCACTGAAGTTTTTTGGATAGCTGCAATTGCTTAGAAGTTATGAGATGAAAAGTGATTTTCCCTCCACCCTAATTTGAAGTACCTTTCAACCTATTCTCTAAAAATTTCTCGTCATTTGCAGTCTCTTCCACTCTCTTTTATTCTTTCAGCTCTAATCCTTGTGAAAGTAGACGGCGAAATGTTCTTTTCCTAATATCTCCGGACTAAAGAAATCTACCTTTGCCTGCCAGCTAACCCACTGGTTTTTTTTTTTTTTTTGTTAATGAAGATTTCTAAACGCGACAACATTGGTTCGAAATTTGTCTTAGAAAATACATTTTCAACTAATGTTACATTCAGGCTCTCGAATGTCTCATTGCTTGTCTTTTAAAATACTGAAGATGATGAACTGATACTCTCTAATTCTTAAAAGATAAAATATTAGGAAAAGGAAATTTCATGATCATTCTGACAGAAGAACACGCTCCTTAGTAGATCGTTACAGTTCAGGATACAGCAATGCGAATTGTTAAAAACGATTTCAATAAGACACTTCATTTACTTTCTGTACTTATGATTTTAATTTACTTGCAATTCCATACATTTATTAGTAGCTGTATTTAAACTGATTATACTATCGGGAATAACAAGAACATGAAAATAAATCCATCTAGGAGCAGGATTCGAGCCTGCGATCACACCCGTGAATCAGGTAGCAACCACCTGCTGAGGAGACTGGTGTCGAGTGTCATTTCAAGCCTGACGCCATAACCACTCGGCCATCCTGGGCACGAATCAGAATGTTATACTGAAGCAGCATTGAATGTTCTCGGTGCTTAACAATATATTTTAGTGCTGATTGAGACCTTTGAAGTTGTTAATTCTTACCTAAGGACTTGCAACTTTTATGGATCTGTAGAAATAACAAAAAGAGCGTAAAAGACTTCAGCATTTCAACCTTAGTTTAAATATTTCCAATAATTAACTCAGGAGATTTCACATCATATTTGGGAGACAAAACGTTTATCGAATCAAATCAAAAACATTACACAGTCCATTTCAGTTATCATTTATTTGACATATTATTTAAGAAGATACGGCAGCAATGTTTTTATTTTTGAAAATCCATCGACAACCACTTTTTATTATTCGAAGTTTAGGATCTCTCAGTGTATGTCTTTACGTTATTTTAAAATCTATGATCATCGCGTTGCTTCAGCCAAATCTCTTTGTTTTCTTCAGAATTTTTTGAATGTTCAATATTTTCCTGTACCATACAATTTACAACCTCTACTCAGCGTTGGTCTTATAGGAAACATCAACAGACGTCCATTCTTCTAAAATAGTTAAATAAAATAATATACGCTAGCGATTCGTGAACAATGTCGGAAGTAGCTTAGATTCTTTTATGGGGATTGTTGAACACAAATGATTTTGGATTGTTGTCCATAGAAATTAAAACTACTTATAAAATTAGGCCTAATGCATCTTGGGGAGCAAGTATGTTATAAATCATCGGTAATGGTGGTATTTTTTCGCCCCCACAACACTTTTGTCTTTCAAAGTGACATAAACGCATTCAAGTTTTGTCATCATAGCTAGTGGCGTAGCGAGAGTAAGAGGTGCCCGGAAAATAATATGATTGTTATTTTACAGCGTTATTTTCAGGTACTGTTCCTGCGGATAATACGTCATTTGCAGGTACTATACCTACGAATAATTCGTTTTTTACAGGTACCGTACCTAAGATTAATTCGTTATTTGCAGGTACGGCACCTACGGATAAAATTTTATTTGTAGGTACTGTACCTACGGATTATACTTTATTTGTAAAGGAAGTGGTTATTTACAGGTACTGTACCTATGTATAAAAGATTATTTGCAGGTACTCTACCAACGAATAATTCGTTATTTCATGTACTGTACCTACGGATAAAACGCTATTTTCAGGTACTATCAGATTCAATATTCTTTCTATTTAACTTTGGAGGGGGGGGGGGTTCTATTTTCCCTTCTTTCTCTGTAGAATTGTTCTTTTTTTATCCCTGAAATTATGGATTTGATGTTATTGTGAGATTTTTCAATATTTCGACAGAAATACACAATGTCTCTGATTTCTGTTATCTGGTTTTGGGTGCTAGTTTCCCGTGAATCTGATTCATTTTTCTCTAGAAAAGTTTTTATTGAAGCATTTACTGGTGGGATTGGACCTCAAATATTTAATAAAAATTCAAATTTATAGCTTGGATGAGCTCTGAAAAGTGTCTTATTCCTCATCAAAGAATTTTAAAGAACTCCATGCCTAATGGAGATCCTAAGTTGACAGTTTAAATCTTCTATTAACAACACTGGGTAAATGTAAATTTGCATTGAAAAAATCCATCATTGCTATTTAAAAGTTTTAGGAAATCACAGAGCTAAGAATATGGAAATAATTATAAACAGAGAAGGCCTTTTGCATTTTCTGAATCTTATTTTCGGATAAGCAGTATCGGCGGTCGCATCCATATCGCTGATCCTGAAAAAATTAAGAAAACAGTACGCACAGAAAAGAATACATGTACAATATAAAATACGAGCAAAATGATAATTATAAAATATTAATCAAAATATATAAGATCATCTTTTCGCAAGAGCGATGAGACGCAGCAACTAGAACAAAACTCGCCACACAGGTTGACGGGAATCAATATGGCGCCGTGTTATGCTTTGTAGTTCTCTTCACAATTCCTGTCCAGCGTAGGTGGCGCTGCGATAGTTAACCAAACTCCGGAATGAGACCTCTGATACTCTTTGTCAGTGTAATTATCTCCGTACGATCACTGAGGGAAGTATGGATGGTAGAGCACTGGGTTGTTCTGAAACAAGTCGTGGGTTCAAATAGGGTCAAATATTTTCACGCTTCGCAGCTACTTGACCAATCTGTGCAGAATTTGTATATCAGATAGCTTCTTACAAAAATTATATCTGTGAAACTCAGTATTTTCTTTAATTTTACAACTTATTCCAGTCTTTGTTTATTATCATACAAAATTATTATAATATTACTTACATACTATTCTAATTTCCTTGCTGATATTTAGAAGTGTTCTAAATTAGAAAGAATTTTAATTAGATCTTAAAAACACTTTTTTAGTGTACTAATTAGTAGAATTTTTATTTTAATTTTTTTCTACTTTTTAGTCTTTAATTGATACTTTATTAATATAAACAAAATGAATTATATTTTGAAGACTAAAAAGTTGAAAAAAATCATTGTAATGATTTTTTTCTCAGTTTCACTGCAAGATGACGCCTCTAGTACTAATTAGTTTTAATATAATTCATCGATTAACTGGTAATTAATCCCTAAAAATATTAAAATAATGTACTGCAATCTAGAAATCACAAGTTTCCAAAAAATAGAATGGAAAATACATGGAAATCATGTTTTATCCGTTGTGACAGTATTTACATATAATGTATCATCTGTAGGTACAGTACCAGCAAATAACGAATTATTCGTAGGTATAGTAGTACCCTCAAATAACGTTTCATCCGTAGGTACAGTACCTGCAAACAACGCTATCCTAATCTTAATGTGATTAGTTAAAAAACAATTTTAATTTCCTTCTCGATAACTTAGGCTTGAAATAATAATGTACCATTACAATTGACAATAAACTGTAAGTAATTCAAAAATCAGGAAAATTTATTTATAAAGTGTCAGTTAAACAGTTATCAATTATATTTAATAATCTCAAGTGAAAAAACGAAAATCCTACAGAAAAAGAAGGGAAAATAGACTCCCGAAATAGTCCTACAGAAGGAAAATTGAATTTGACAGTACCTGCAAAAACGTTTTATTCTTAAGTACAGTACCTGCAAATAACGTTTAATTCGTAGGTACAGTACCAGCAATTAATCACTTACTTTTTTATCCCAGTCGTCTTAGCGGCTTAACAAGCGTAAATGGCTCCAGGGGTATTTTATTATTTTTACGCTCAATCATCATATTTTGCTTTAAAAATTGTATAAAAGCAATAATGTTTTAACTCCATGGCACGCTCTAAAACTGGCATCCGTGGCATC